CAGCAAGGGATACAACGTGTAACACATAATGACCAAACTCATTCCTTGTCCATTGTACCTGTATAAGCACCTGCTTCAGTTTTAGTCACCTACTTGGGAAAACTCTCCACTCCACTTTTCCTATCCTTCTTCCAACCTATCAATAACTTTCTTGCTTTTCTGTAACTTTGGTCTCAATGTTGAATTCTTTCCTTGCTGAAGTCAAGAATTGACAAAAAGCCTGCCTGAGGTTCTTGGACTCCCAACTTGCTACCCCCCCCCCAAAAAAAAAGAGATTCAGCGTTTTCATCTCCAACTATGAGATACATGAAACAAAAAGAAAACCCAATGCATTAACTTCCTAGAACTGCATTAAGAAACTACCACAATTCTACTCCTAAGAATCTACCCAAAGGACACAAAAAAAATTAATTCAAAAAGACACCTGTGCCCCTATGTTTATTGCAACATGAATTACACTAGGTAAGATATGGAAGCAACCCAAATGCCTAAAAATAGATGACTGGATCAAGAAGATGTGGTATATTTATACCACGGAATATTACTCAGCAATCAAAAATGATAAATTCGTGACCTTAGCAGCAGCATGGATGGAGCTGGAAGAGATTATGCTCAGTGAAAGCCAGAAAAAAAAAAAGAAAAATATATAGAATAGTCTCACTTGTAAGAGTAATGGAGATAAACCAAATAAGGAAAGCAGGGAAAAAAAAGTAACTATAGTAAAGTAAAAACCAAAATCATCAGGCAACTATAGATAAGAGACATTCTGTAGGAGAGGAGAAGTGGGAGAAGGATCAGGACAGGAGTAAGAAGAGCACAAGGGACTATGGTGACAGTGCACAGGTGAATTGGTGGTGGGAATTTCACATGGAAAACGTGAAGGATGATATAATAAATATAATTTGTTAAAAAAAAAATCACAAACTTGGTAGCTTAAAAAACAGAAATTGTTTCTCACACGGTTCTAGAGCCATGAAGTCTGAAGACAAAAACCCTTTTCTCCCACTTGAGGCTCTAGTGGAGAATCTCGATTTGCCTTTCCCAGTACCTGGTGGCTGCTGGCATTCCTGGGCTGTGCCCCATCACTGCCATCTCTGACTCCTTCTTCACACACCTTCTACTCCCTGTGTCCTGAATCTCTCTCTACTTCTGTCTCATAAGGACACCTGTCTCAGTCTCTGGACTCCCCATTCCTATCACAGGTGCCTGCTTTGTTGGCCGTTGTAAAAGCAAAGTGGCGGGAATTGGGGAGTATGGGAGTAAAGTTCACTTTAAAAATTCCAAACAAATCCACAAAGTTTAGCATATAAAAAACTAGAGTACCAATATGAAATTACATTTAAAAATATAGATATAAAGGGCCCTCCTTGGTGGCACAACGGGTTAAAACACCACATGATGAAGCTATCTGAAACCACTGCAGCATGAGTTCAATCCCCAGCCAGGGAAGTGACCCAGATGCTGTGGCAGACCTCTCCTGACCTGCCCACTGCTCCCCTCAGCAGTGTGTATTTCACTAAATCTGCCTGTTCTGCTCTCTACTCTGTCTATGGTGAATCCTCTCACCCCATCCCCCATACCACATCTCTGGCCTGTACCCCAATTCTTGTATGCACAAATAAATAAATCTTACACATATATATATACATATATATGTATGTTATGCATATATATAAAACAATTAGTTCATATAAATAGAAATATAAAAAAGTAAGAACTTAGAGGTTGAACAAGATTTAATAATTACAATTAGAGAGATAAATTAGGTAAAATGAAAATCTTGAGTAAGTTAGGTAAAGCGAGAACCTACACAGGTCCTATTATCAAATGAGTCCACTCTTAGATAGGTACCCAACAGAAACATGGGCATACATCCTTAGCAGACATGTGTGCTTATTCTTTTCTTTTTTTTTAAGATTTTATTTATTTATGCATACAAGAACTGGGGTGTAGGCCTGAGATGTTGGGTGTGTGAAAGGATTCACCAGAGACAGAGTGAGGAACAGAACAGACAGACTGACTAAAATATACTGCTGAGGGGAGCAGTGGGTGAGACAGGAGAGGTCTCCTGTACCATGTGGGTCAGTTCCCTAGCCAGGGATTGAACTTGCGCTGGAGTGGTTGCTGATAACTTCATAGTACTGCACCACCAGGGAAGGCCCCAAGCATGTTTATTCTTAAAAAGTAGAAACTACCGAAAAAAAAGGGGGGAGAACTACTCAATACTCCATTATCAGTATAGTAAATAAATAAATTGCAATTTATTTATACAATGGAATTCTACAGGATAATAAAAGTGGGCTACATGTTGACACCACAATGATGAAACCAGAAATATTTTGAGTGAAAGAAGCCAGACACAAAATAGTATGTATTCTATATGATTCCATTTCTAGATGTACAGCCAAGACGCCAGCTAAGCTGGTGTTTTAGAATCTAGGCAGAGGCTACCTTTGGTGACTCCTCTCCTGTAAAGTGGGGTGACTGCCCTTTGATAGGTCTGTCAAGATCACTAAGCAAGATGAATGTTGTGTTGGCAACATCACATTGACAAAGAAACAGGAGTAGTGGGGCGAGCTGTCCAATGCAGGATGCTCCCCAAAGAGAAGATGCTGGCCTTTTTGTTAATAGAATACTCACACAGCATCAGTTACACAGCGTGGTAGAACAAAAAGAAAGGGTGGGTGAAATGAAAAATGTGCTTATGTCATTTAGGGTTTCTGGGGGAGGTGAGTCTACTGCCCAGGTATTTTTATTGCTTGATGACCTGGTGTTGCAATGGAAACCATACCCTAAGCCCCCTTGCCATGGTTCCAATCTTATCAACCAGACATCCTCTCCTCTGATCAGTCTCTGGGATACAAAGTCACACATCAGTCAATGGCCCCAGCCATTCCGGCCACAGATTATGATGTATGTATGCCCTTGTCCAGGGCTATCAGGCATCCTGCTCTTGTTCAATTTGGAAAAACCCTTGTAGGGTCTAAGATACTACATTTTTTCAGTTCAGATAATGTACTGACCAGGCTGTTCTGACCTTGTACTGGAATGCCCAACTGCTTGTAACAAAGATGGTGGCCAAGCAGGCCCTTTAAGCTTAATAGACCCACAGATGAAGAGACTACAGATCAGTCCAGGCACCAATCAGTCCTCGATGACATTGGCTCAGCAGAAGCAGTTACTTCTATCTCTCCTCTATCCACCCATCACCCTGAAGCCTCTCATGAAAATCTGATGTTCTTCTTGTACAGTTACACTTCCCCTTTGGAAATGCTCACTCAGACTGTCATTGTTCGCTAGATATATTATGATTTTATAACGTTTTACCAAGCTATGTGGGCGGGAACAGTCCTGAGAGGAGCCCTCTGGTACAGTGGTGATCTCTCAGCTGACATCTGCTCCCCATTTCTGGTCAGCATGCATTTCTCTGTGCTCTACAGGGAATCACATGAGGGAAGACTAGGTAGGTCTCACACCACCAGCAATGATCACTGGGGAGGCTCAAGCCCTCTGTGAAGAAGAAATTTCATGCACCAGTCCGAGACTGCTGTCCTTGGTTTGCCTGCAAAGTTGCCCTTGGCTGCAATCTGGGAACTTGGACCACCAAGTCTCCTATGTTGATAAAAATTTTCCCTGAAGATAAAAGGGCTTCATAGCATCTGCACTGTTGGTAGAAACAATGTGAGTTATACTGAGTACTTGCTCTCCTCTGTAGAGTCTGGAACTTAGTTATGTGCTAGGCAGTGGCTCTACGTGACCGTTTCCCATGGAAACCTGTGGCATCTAATGAACTTCCCTGGTCCACAGCATTTCACATGAGTTGTCACAATTTGCTGCCAGTGCATTCTGTATGACATGTGTGGAGAAGACTCTGAGAGCTTAAGCCTGTTTTCCTTTCCATCTTTTCCTTTTGTATCCTCTCACTGTAATAAATCATAGCTATGAAGATGACTGTGGGCTAAGGTCTGGGTGATCTCTTAATGAATGATTGAACCAAGGGGTCTAGACTTGGGGACCTCAAAGACACTCACAAGACATGTGTCAGTCACAGAATTGCATAGGCCAGAGGTTAGGATTTGCCTAAATCATGAAAAGTCTCAAAGTATGGGCTGCAGTAGAAGAAAATTATGAGATTTCTCCCAGAGAGTTAATAGCCTTCTATTCAATTTTTTTTTTAAGATTTATTTATTTATGCACACAAGAGCTAGGATTCAGGCCAGAGGGGCAGGGCTCTGAGAGGATTCACACTGAGACAGAGTTGGGAGCAGAACAGGTGAATTTACTGAAACACACTGCTGAGGGGAGCAGTGAGTGGGTTAGGAGAGGTCTGCCCCGCCATGTGGGTCACCTCCCTGGCCAGGGATCGAACTCATGCTGTAGGTGCTACAGATAGCTTCACACTGATGTACTTTAACTTTTTGTGCCACCAGGTAGGGCCCATTCTACTCAATTTTAAGTCACATAAACACCATTAGATATACATGGTGTGATATGAGTATGTGTATGCTGTCTGTGCTGTGTGCGAGCATGTGTGCATCTGAGTGTGCTGTGAGTGTATGTGAATATGTGGGAGTGTGCACATGCTGTGTCATGTGTGCGTTCATATGTGTGAATTGGTGTGAATGTATTTTGTGAGTATGTGTGCGTGTGGCTCATGTGTGTGCCCGTGTGTGTGTGCATGGATGACTGCACATGTGTGTGGATGCACGCATGTGAGCTAGTGTAGGTGTGTGTGCAGGTATGAGTTATGTGTGTCTATGGGAATATGTGTGTGAGTGTGTGTGAAGATAAGTGTATCTCTGTGTGGGGGTGAGCACGAGTGTGTGTGAGACTTAGTGAGTGCATGTGTGTGAGTGTGTACGTACATGGCATGCCTATGTATATGAGTGTGTGTGTGAGTGGGTGTGCAGGGGAAAAGGTGGTCCCTTCAGAAGTCTGTTAACAGAAAACACACAGGATTTCAGTCTAAGGCTTTATTAAGGATCTCTGCATGCGCGCTCTTAGCCCTCCAGACAGGAGTTGTTCCAGAGCTCATAAAAATTGATCCAGGGCACAGTGTATATCAAGAAATCACAAATGAAACTCTGTGGAAGGATTAAAGAAACAGTCAGTTTTCAGGGAAAAAATGTTTTGGAGGTGAACAAAAATCTGCCCACCTCAAGCCTTTATCTGTGAAGTCTAGACCCATCAGTGTGACTGCACACTTCACACATTGGGGTGGGGGCATTTGCCAGCAGGGGCAGAAGGCGGCGAGCCAAAGCCAGCACAGTCACTCTGTGTTCCGCCTGTATCTCCCTGCGTCATTGGGAACCTCGGTCCCTGAGGGGTGCTGGGAGAGAGCTGGGCAGTCAGCTCAACACAGAGATTTTGCCCCAACTCCCGTCTCCTGCAGCTGACCTAAGCCCAAGGGAAGACCCTGGGATCTGCCTTACAGGTGGTGGCACCAGGAACACAGGAAGGGGCAAGTGAGACTGGAAGGAGGAAACTGGACCATCCTCTGGGCACTGGAAAGTGCGCGGACTGACCAGAGCAAAGCCCAAGGGAAATACACTGTAGTCGCCTGAAGGCCTGCAGTAGGCCAGCAGGCAGCAGTCCAGGGGCACCAAGGCCTGGGCCCAGGAGTTGCCATCAACTGGAAACCCTCCCTACCACCCCAGGGTGCCTCTGCTCCCGGGTGGTCAGGACCAGCCTTTCCTTCCCTCACTCTATACAAGTGGAAAGGCTAATGCTCGAATATGCTAAAATGTTTCACTTTCCCTCTTGATCACCAGCCCCTTCTCGAATGAATGCTATCACACACCTTCTTCAGCTTCTTGCTTTGAAAGTGACAAGTCTGATTTTTCTTCTCATTCCTCTTGCATTTGGTCCGGCTAATCTTCACTGTGACCAAATACTCCACGCCCGTTGTCAGCTACCAGGAAGGGAAGTCACAGTTAGCTTCCATTCCACACATCCAGCTACTGATTCTCTCCAGGAAAAGCTGGGACAGGTGCCCCGGGAACCCCAGACCCTGTTCTCAGAGCACATCTGCCAAAACCTTGTTCCTGGAGACCTGCTTATTCAGGGTCTCTGCCCTTTTTACATCACATTTTGGAAGCAAACCTCTTGTCGGACGTGGGATGTGCCAATCTCCTCTCCCCTTCAGTGGTAGGTATCCCCGTGTTCAAGATTGTGTCCTCAATCATGCTGCTCTACTGGTATTCTGCCCACTTTCAGTTGAGGAAACTAGAGAGTCTGGGTAGCACCTGACCAAGATTTCATAAAACAAATCCAGGCCCCAAACCCAGAAGAGGGGTCTGGAGTGTAAGCAGCCCATATGGCCACCTCCTGGACCCTTAATGTACTAACTAGACACAATCGTGCAGACGCAGTTGCAGTGATGCCCAGGGACTGCTGTCCCAGATCACCCAGCTATCAGGGGACACGCATCCATTTGAATAGCATCAACAGTTCATTCATAAACAGTATTTTTAGAGGAAACTGTTCACTGCAATGGATTGATTTCACAGGACAAGCATCCAATTCTCACGCTTGAGGAAGAACAAGCCAACTTTTGAGAAGAACGTTGGTGGACGGACGCCACCTTGTGGCCACGTCATCGCAACGCTCTTGACTGATGAAACACCAGCAACAGTGCGTGAGAGACAGGACAGGGGCAGTGTGGGGTGCTCTTGTATCACACTAATCTGCATCTCTGTCTCCACCTGGGCGGATTTCTCCAGTTTCTGCTTCTGTTCTATCTGGTCATGTCCTTTTGCTCCTAGTCAATTACTTTTTGTGAAGCTAGCATAAGATGTCTTATTGCCTCTCCCAAACATATAATTTATTATCTGACCTAGAAGAAAGATTGAACCACAAAAGTGGTTTTCAGTTTTTCTTTCCTCTCTCATCTTCAATTGATATATTTAAAAACAAAATAAGTAAAATGAGAGATGATAGGTTGAAGTTTTATGCCTCGCTCCCCAGCTCCCTTCCCTCCAAAAACACCCTCCCATAATTCCAGGTTTCTGTAGTGTGCAATAGATACTTCTGTTTAATTCCAGATTTCTGTAGAGCACATGTAAAAGTTATCTGTGCAATTCCAGCTTTCCGTAGAACAGCCCAACACCCTCTGTGTAATTCCAGGTCTCCAGAGAGTGCAATGAAACCTTCTGTGTAATGTCAGATTACTGTACAGTGCAGTGGCAATGTCTACACTTCAATTTTCAATCCCAAACATTGAAAAAAACATGTTGTTGAAGTGAACCTACAAAGAATGATTATATCTTGCCAAGTGAGCCCACTGAAAACATAATTATCATTTTTTCTATCACTCTAGTAGGACCTAATTTTGAAACGAAAGATTTTCCCAAGGAAGAACAACTGAGAATTTCAAAGGAAATTTTTGTTTCAAAGTGTCACAGAGGGCCTCCTGGTGGCACAGGGGTTAAAGTCTCAGCACTATCAAGCTATCACTAGACACTGAGGCCTGAGTTCAATCCTGGCCAGGGAGCTGACCTACACAGTGCAGCAAACATCTCCTGCCCCGCCTCCTGCACTCATCCTCTTCATTCAGCAATGTATTTCAGTAAATCCACCTGATCTGCTCCCCATGCTCTCTAATGAATGTTCTCACCTCCTGCACCTCTGGCCTAGACCCCAGCTCTTGTATGCATAAGTAAACAAAATAAATCCTCAAAAAAAGAAGTGTCTGGGTTCCACTACAGCCCTTAGAGTTTTGCAAGCATTGCTGGGGTCTGAGCAACTCTAAATCGCTCCATCTCAGTGAAGCTACCTCCCCACCTCAACTTGGTGCAGCCATCGCTTGGTTCTTTCTGGGAACCATCTTGTGTCCTCACATGTCCAAATGGGCGGGAATGGAGGTGATGTCCACACGCAGAGAAAAGGAGGTACAAACCTGCACCTGGCTTCGGAGGAGCTTGTCAACTTTAAATAAGTAAGAGTCGTTGCTGGCATTGTTGTAGCTTTCCATGAAGAAGTTGAGTGTTGAATCCATGTTTTGCTTGCTCATGGACTTCTCCTGAAACCCTTTCCATCCTTCAAAGTGGTCCAGCTTGGCCGCCAGGACCAGCGCAGTCAGCAGCAGCAGGGGGGTCCTCCAGCAGCCTAGCGCCATCTCTGTAGCCCTAGAAGCCTCCTCGCCACTGTAACTTTCAGAGTTGTGTGGTCGCAGTGCTCACTCTTCCAAGGAGAAAGATGGCTGCCTGCATTTAAACAGAGATTCAGGTGTGAACATGAACCTCATCTTTTGAGGCCTTGACCAACCCACTTTGGAGGCTGCCCAACCCACTCTCACTCCGCTCATTTTCAACACTTTTGTGACACCTGGTAGTTCAGGCAAGCAAAAGTTGTAAACACCTGCTAGAATGGCTGAACCCCCTCCCCACCCCCCCTGCCTCACGCCCCCTGGGGAAGAAAGCTCCAGGGTTTCGCTTCCATTGTTATGGTTAAGAGCTGATTTTTGGATAGAGAGGAGACATTGGTGGGACTCAGAGAAGATGACATTGGGACTAAAATATAAGGGATCAGGGAAATGGAACAGGACATAGTGCATTACTTACCTGGGTTTCCAACAATCTAACCAGCCATCAACTGTTCCCTCTAAAACAGGTTCTGTTTGTTCATTTGTCACTTTCTCACCACCAGTCTCTGCCCGCGACTCTGCCCGCCTGATCCTGCTGTGCCTGGAGGTCCTGGCACTAGTACTTATTATCTTGATGTGACCCCAGTGAGGCTTTGTGAGGTAATCTGTCTCCTGTGAGGGAGGAATAAGCTTGAGGCTTCTTCAGAAATAAATCCTGCAAGCCCCTGAAGGTTGCGTGTGTAAGGTAGTAAAACCCTCCCTGGTGGCGCAGTGGGTTAAATTAGCACAGACACTTCAGCATGAGTTCCATCCAGCCGGAGAGGTGATCCACATGGCATGGCAGACCTCTCCTGACCTGTCCACTGCTCCCCTCAGCAGTGTACTTCATCAGTCGGCCTGTTCTGCTCCCCACTCTGTCTCTGGTGAATCTTCTTACCGTCCCTGCACCTCTGGCCTGTACCCCGGCTCTGTATGCATAAATAAATAAATCTTCTTTTTTTTTTTAAATGCCCCTAGACCTTATTTGGATTTGGGACTGAACATAATAACTCAAGTGGCATAAAATAGATTAGCAGGAGAAAAGCAAATAAATTTTATTACATTTTGACATGTATGTTAGAAATTTCACAAGTTAATAAAGACTCAAAGAAGTCACAAGAGGGGGCAGTTTTATGCCTTTTAGACAAGGAAACAATCAATTTGTGAAAAATTGACAAAACAAAGGGGTTTGAGTTGTGGTTGGTAACAGACTTGTTTATAGAAACTTCCCAGCTCTACCTCTCTCATCTCTGGGTGTGAGGCTGGTTCCACTCCTGTTACAGGAAGGGGCCTTCCCCAGGGAGGTTTAGGGAAAAGTGTAAGATGGGGTGTCAGAGGAACCTCCCTGCTTCTGCTGTTTTCTCAGACTCCTTCAGATTAAAGCTCCATGTGCCAAGATGAACCTTATCACCTGCACTCAGAAGCCAGTAACAGTTCCTTATTTCAAAAATACTTGTTAAAATGGGATCCTAAATAGAGTCTTACTCCAGAAAAAAAAAAGAATGCTAGTGAAATAGTTGACAAAATTTCAACAGTCTGAAGATCAGTTAATAAATACTCTGTTATACTATTAACTTCAAACTTTTCACCACTATACTGTAATCATGTATGATGTTAACATCTGGGAAACAGGATAAAAGACATATAAAAAAATTACGGGCCCCCCCCCCCCCGGTGACACAGCAGGTTAAAGTGCAGCACTAAAGAGCTAAAGCCACTTCAGCATGAGTTCAATCCCCAGCCCTTTCCTGACCCGCCCGCTGCTCCCCTCAGCAGTGTACTTCATTGATCTGCCTGGTCTGCTCCCCTGTCTGTCTCTAGTGAGTCCTCTCATTGCCCCTGCAACTCTGGCTTGCCCCCCAGTTCTGCATGCATACATAAATAAATATTTTTTTAAAAATATGCTCCTTGTAAAGGATCTCATCTTAAAAGTTTAACTTAATTAGATCCTAAGTCAGAAATTACTTCAGAATGAAGGTTAGATGTTCAAAATATAATAGGTTATTAGTATACTATGGTGGGGAAGCACAAGCCTTGATATTGTGCAGCCCTGAATCTAAATCCCTTACTAGGCATCTGGGAAGAGTAGTTTAATCTCTCTAAGCCTGTTTTTACATTTAACATATGCATGGAAAGAAAAAATAAAAAATTGCTGCTCTGGGATGATGCTAGAGACTAAGTGAGTGTGGACGAAGAACCTACTCCCAGCACAATCCTCAGGAGAGCTCAAATACATCCTCTGTGAAATTTGCCCATGACTCTGAACCCACTGCTGAAACCTGTCATCTATTGGATCCCAACAGCCCAAAACCCAGCCACCCTCCATTGTGAAAACCCTTGGACTCATTCTAACATCCACACCTGATCCTTAGAGCCTACCTGGTGGGGCTTGTCCTGCTTGTCCTGTTCTCGGTGGTGGCAGCTGTGGAACAGACTGAGCCTGGGCTGCAGGAGTGTCATTGTAAAGTAGAAATAGAGGGCTTCTGAGCAAGTTGGCAGTGTCTACACCTGGGATATGCTCAGAAGACAAGACATTCATAGGCTATATTAAAAAACCCATACAAAGAGCATAGCAATAAGGAACAATAAGAAATATGAGGCTTGGTTATGTCCAAAGTAAGAGAAGAGTGGTCTCTGTTAACATCCATGAAATAAAAGGAAAATATAGACCATGGCTAGGTCCAAATATCCAAGGAATAAGACAAAAAAGAGGGCCTGGCCGATCACTCCTGGCACCTCTTGGCTCCTGGCAACATTACTCCAGTCTCAGCCTCTGCCTCTCCTTTTCAAATCTCTCTCTCCTTCCTCTCTTAAGGACTCGTGTCACTGGATTTAGGGCTATCTTAAGTTCAATACAATCTCATCTTAAAAGTTTAACTTAATTAGATCCTATACTCCAAATAAATTCACATTTACAGGTACTAGGGCTTAGGACCTACATTTTGAAGGAACACCATTCAACCCATTAAAATGTCCATGGAATAAGAATAAAACAGGGAATGCAGGTGTTCCTATGTATTAGGAAAACTTTCTGGAGCTTCTATAATAAATCATCATCAATTTGATGACTTTAAACAATAGAAATGTATTCTCTTATAGTTCTGGATGCCCAAAATCTGAAGTCGTTTCACTGAACAAAAAAAAAAAAAAAAACAAGGTGAAGGGAGGATCTGTTCCTCACATTCCACTGGCTGCCTGGTTTCCTTGGCCACATCACCCCAATCTCACATGACTTCTTCCACTCTTGTCTGCATCAAATCCCTCTGAACTTCCTTCTTATAAGGATACACAGATGACATGTAGGCCCCAAGTGGAAATTCCAGGATAACATATGCACCTCAAGTCTTGAACTTAATCACATCTGCAAAATTCTTCTTTGCCACATCAGGTAATGTTCATAATATTCAGGGGCTAAGATATGGACCTTTTAGACGTCATTATTCTATCTATCATGCAATGAGGAGAAAATTGGGTATTGGTATGATTCTATATAACAAGAAAAAAGTGGGGGATATCATTACATCCACAGGATAAGGGGGAAAGTGTGGTGCCCTGGTCATGTTCAAGGGATAGAAGGAAAAGAGGCCTTATTACATCTAGGAAGTGGAGAAAAATGGGACTGTGGCTATGTCCATGTATAAGTCATATCCATGGAACACAAGCAAAACCCTGGTAGTGTACATGGAAGATGAGAAAGAAGCAACCTTGCTGGTACATGTACAGGAGGAAAACATTAAGCCTGTTAATGTTTTCAGGAAATAAAAAGAAACCCAAATGGCAGCAAAACTCTGGAGACACAATCTGCCCATGACTAGGGGGAAACACACAGCCTGGTTCAATACACGAGGTAAGGAAAACGCAGGAGCTGATTAAATCTATTTTATTGGAGGAAATAGGAAGACCAAGGGGGCCTCTGGACATTTTCACAGAAAAGGAAAAAACAGAGAACTTGGTTATGTCCATACAATAGCAGTGAAATGGAAGCCCTGGCTCTCTCTAGGACCCAGATGGGCCCACAGAATAGGGAAATAGAGGACCTGTTTATTTCCACTGAGTAACATGAAAATACATTGGCCGGTTACAGCCATGCTGTAAGAGGAAAACAGTTTCATCATTTCCATCACGTAAGTGTAAATCAAGCAGGCTGCTTATATTCATGGTAGGAAAAAAAAGGGGGGGTGGGAATAAAGGCTCTGGGGATAGTATGGAATACTAGGAAATAGGAGGACTGCTTCTGTCCATGAAATAAGGAGGAGCAGAAAGGGAAGGCACAAGAGTGTGAGGAAAGGCTTGGATAATAGAGGCGTTTGTGGATGAATTGTAGAGATGCTTTCACATGATGCATATGATAAAACTCATCCAGCTATGTATTATAAATATGTGCAGTTTATTATATGTTAATAAATAGTTCAGTAAGGCAATTTGGATGGCTGAACAAAAAATGCATATGGGTGGGTGAACAGGTGGGTGGATGGATGGATGGATGGATGGATGGATGGATGGATGGAGAGTGTGTGGGAACAAGCATAATGCATCATATGAAACAGATACTCAACTCAGGGCCCCCTTCCTGCCACCACTGCATCTGTTACAGGGTAACGCAGAGTGGACTGGGTCGCCAGTCCATGAGGCCTCACCCAAGCTCACACAAAAGGGTCAATAACAGGTTTATTTACAAAAGGGGAGAGGAATAGGAAACAACCCAGGGAAAGAGAGCAGGATACAAAGTAACTGGAACACCTTACGGCTAGGCTGACTGAACACACCGAGTCACACAGTGCTGAGAGCTGCTTCCCGAGCGAGAACATGAGAGATGCAATCGCGCCCTATTTATCCCTCAAATGCCCCAGAATTCTTGCTAGCTCTGCTCTTGGGTCCTCGCCGTTCTCTCCCTGGTACTGTTGGGAGTTGTAGTTTCCAATCACTGGAGTAGGGGGTAGAGTCCAGAAAGCTGGAGTCCACAAGACTCTGCAGAGTTCCTTTAGGACATCCTT